CTCCCGCGCATTTGGCTGTTTTCTTTGTCTTGCAAGCCTCTTGCGCCTTGTTCGTGCTTGACATATGCGCTTCCCCAAGCCTTCCGCCTCCTACCCTTTTTCGTCACTTTGAGTCTTCCTTGGTCCTGTCGCTAATACCTTAGCCTTGGAACTCTTGGACCTTGCTTTCCCTGTCGTACTACTGCACTTAAATGGATGATTCGATGGAGCCTTCCTGCACTAGGGCTCCATTTTCGACTTTGTCCTTCTCCGATTCGAAACCGCTTTTTTAAACCCCCGGCGTCCCCCTTCCTCCCCCGGACGCCATCTGAAGGAGATTCGGTTTGAGCCTGGTGGAAACTAGTAGCCGACTTCGATTTCACTACCACCATCAACCAACCTATTGGTGTTGCGTCAACTTCAAATCATCTGACGGTCATGGCCGAGGCCGACCTCGTTCGCCCTGCAACGTCGTACTCAGGCGCCTCGGGTTTTCAGAGGAGGTTCCTTCTCTCCAGCCCGGGGCGACCTCGAACTGCTTCAGGACTCGGCGATCCTAAATTTGAAAAGACACCATCGACTGCCTTGTCTGTGAAAGTCACAATCAAGTTTCAGCCGTCCCTCGATCTCACCTACGAAAGACAGTACCAGGCCTCCCACGGCTTCCAACCGACGGACCAACTATGTCACACCCTCATCCGTCGTCTTACACATTGCTCAACCGAGCTGCTCACCCGCAGAGACTCAACCGCTCTCGAGCGTTCCATACCTCAAATTGGAGATGGCAAGCCGCTGCGGTTCGAGCTAATCTACCAAGTTTACAGAGGAGGACCGGAGCCATGGGCAACCAAGTCCTTCAAGTCATATCAGAAGTTCCCTCTCGACAAGTCAACGGCTATGGAAGTCGCCCGCTCTACCGACCGCATTATCGGTTCCTTCCTTAAGCTCCACGACCGGTCCTTCAGATGGATGCATGGCAAGATACGCGAGAGATCAGGAAGCGAGCTTGAGATTCTCAAGCCCCTGAGCAACCCCGTATCTCTCCTTCACATTCCACAGTCACGTTTCATTGATACCACCCAAGACTGGGAGTTTGTCCCTGGCTACGAAATCACACTGCATTTTCGAAGTCGATGCAAGTCCCGTAGACAAAGGGAATGGGAACGGACCATCACTCTCAAGAGCACTCAGAGCTCTCCGCTAACGCTGTCTCATGGCGAGGACATGGCCTGGGTCTTGTCGACAGCTATGCAACGCTCTCTGGATTCTAGAAAGATGGCCTTCGATAGGCAACATCGGTCCTGCAACAGATTCGATTACCTGGAGGAGTGTCACCATTCTGAACAGAACGCCGTTCACGTCAACTTCCAAATCCGAAATCAGCTGGGCTTGGATCACAGACATCTCCGCCGTGAGCTCGACAGCAACTTGCTGCTGTTTCAAGATCCCAACGGTCTTGACTGTGAACAGTTTGTAAATCAACTCGAGCACGCATTTACTGCAGTGCGAGATGACACCGACAAGGAGCTGAACGAGATGGATGACCTCCGATTGACAGTTTACGAACTCTCTGGCCGGGGTTGGAAGGCAGAGAAACCATTCGCCGTCTGTCTCGACTCGACTGCTTGTTATTCTAGGAGGACTGTTAAAGCCGTCCTCGATCGAGTTCAGACAGGTGTCGCAGATATCCTCGGTGGTCACGACATGAGCATTACTCTCATGGTCCACAAGCGTGGCCATTTGGTTCTGGACAAGACTCTCGTGGCCCGTTCGCCATACTACGCAACGGGACAACGCCAAGGCGAAGATCCTGAGACAATCAAGGAGATGTTTTTGACGAGACTCAAGGACCGAATCCGATCCGACATCTCCATGGTGGTGAAAGACACGTGCTCGCTGTCCGATGCCGAGCCCCAGAATATCCGTGTGGTCGAGCGCCCCGTCTCTGCAGCGAATGACCCTGCTGAGATGGAAGCTTTGCCGTCAAGCAGCCCGCTCCCGATCCCGACGCCGCATGGGCCCGTGCCGGACTCCTTCGATGAGAGTTCCAACGAACCGTCCGAACTTTTGGCACGAGATGAAACGCTTCAGAATGATGGTGGGGTTGAAACGATGGCCGACGGCGTCATAGGCACCGTGGGGCATTCGCAACAGCCTGAAACTCCTGCCAAAGCAACATCGCAGAGTCTGTCCTTTTCGTCGGCCGAGGATGCCACTTCTACTTATCAGTCTTCGTCGTCAACTCCTAGTCTTGTTGACAGCGACATTGGTACGCCCCGCGAGAGCTTGTTGATTACGCCCACCTTTTTGCGAACGCTGTCAGGCCGTCCTCAGCCGTTTGATGCGAACCCGAATATTGCGGATTCCGAGACCTCCGACAGCGAGCTAATTGAAGATTCAGCCGTAGGACCGTCGACTCCAACAATGGCGCGTTTTAATGGACCACGACAGTTCAACTTATTTGGCAAGGGACCTCGCTCCATCTCCCGGCAGTCTTTGACGTCGATTGACTCCGATGCCGACAAGCGCTCGCTGGCTGATTCGCAGCGCACTACCGAGCCCGAAGATGTCCAGGTCTCAGATTCCAAGCTCGGGTTGACTTTGGTTGAGCCTCGATCGGCACCTGTGGCCGACTCACTGGAGTCTCAGCAGGAAACGGCCACCCAAGAGCCCGTTTTCGAGGGTTGGTTGGAGTACTGCTGTGTGCCCATCGAGGATGAAGAGGTTGCCGCGCCTGAGGCCCCGGTCGAAGAGGTGACTACTGCAGCCGAGGAGCCGACGACAGATCTTGTGATTGTTGTCACTCCTGTCGAGGAGTCAACATCAGAGCCTGCGATTGTCTTCACCCCCGATGAAGAGTCGACAACAGAGCCTGTCATTGCCATTATCCCCGACGAGGAGTCGACGACAGAGCCTGCGATTGTCATTTCCACGGAAGAGGAGCCAACGCCACCGGCATTGCCATCTCTGCCTTTGGAGGGTTACTTAGAGTATGCGGTTGAACCAATTATCGAGGAAGACGAAGACGACTCAGATGGCGAATATCACGATGCGGACTCTATCGCACCAGCCGCGTTCATGTCTAGTCCCTCTAGCTTTGCCACCGCGGCTGAGACTAGCCTCAACTCTCCCATCAGCCTGGATTTCGCGATGTCCTCTAACTTCAAAGCTGATAACACCACGAGCGCGCCTGACTTCCTCGAGGTGACAAAGACCGATCCGGTTGTCGAGGATGCGGAGCAGAAGCCCGCCCCGACTTCTCAGGTCGATGCCTGTACGTCTTCACATGACACCACCGAGCCTACTCCAATCCCTCTCGTTCCCGAGACCATCGAACCCTCTCCTGTACCCGAAGCCGAGAAGCCTTCCCCGGTTCCCACAGAACCCCGCGAGCCGAGACTTGACCCTGCCGCCGAGATTCACCGGGATCCGTCCTTCCTTGTTCTGAACGAGGCACCGTCTGTATCGTCGGAGGCCCCGCGCACGCCGACGTCAGACTCCGCCTCGTTCAGTGACAAGGACGATGAGCCCCATGAAACCTCCACCCCTCCGCTGATGACAGAGACTGAAGACTCGGACTACTCAGAGCCTTCCGAGCCAACTTTGCCGTTTCCCGAATTTGCAGTCGATGATACTCCAGGTCCCGACGACGCAAAGTCAAAGTCACTGTCCCATTGGACACTCTCGAGAGCTTCTTTCACTGCCGACGACTTTATCGACAATTATCTCGGACATCACCGCAAGATGTCGATCCCGCGTGCATTGTATCCACGGCCAAATTCGTTGTACGCACTGAAGAATTCGAGCACAATGTCGTTGGGCCACGGCCGCAAAGTTTCATTGCCAACAGCGGGCATCTTTGGCATTCACGAATCAAGTCGTCTGGATCTGGGTCTCCGCGGCGCCCTCTTTGGTCTTGCCTCGTTGAAGAAGCAGGGTGGTTTGGAGAGAAAGAGGTCACAGGTTTTGTTGAAGCTCGAGAACGATAAAGGCATGGTCATTGTGCCAGGCAGTCACAGCAATCCAAGCAGTCGCCGCAACAGCGAGGCGAGAGGAATCGGGGGTGCTGGTGTACTAGGACTTGGTAACGCTTATGCGTTTTGAACACACGCACAAATCCCTAGGTGGATGGGGTCGTTGACTTTGGGAGGATCGCAACTGGCATTGGGAGGGATTGGACGGCTGGACGGCACATAGGATAATTGGAAACTGGGAATCTTGGGTTCGGGGTTTGGAGACGGTGTCCGGATGGAATTCCGTTGACTCTTTGCGATTTGGCGTTTTGGGGGCATCTTCTAGAATTTGGAAAGGTTCCAATTCATCTCGCAAGCGATGCATGGCGGGCACAGTTCATTTAGAAAAAGAGGGCAGCAGCCGGACTCCCGCAGAGTCCGGCCGCAGCAGCAGTGCTAGACATGCACGAGTATTGGAAAATGTATCAAATTTCTTGCCATCATACCTCATGATTCTCGTGATCTATCTTTGATTTGCAAGCACCATAGCGAATATGGCTTCTATCCAAATTGCAACAGCACCCTTCATGAAGGATTCGCGTCAATTTGCCCCTCCTTTCCGGCCTCCTTGACGGAATCTGGCCACTTTTCCCTCTCTGACCATCATTAATTGACGTTGATCTTGTAGCTCGGCAACGCGGAGATGCTCAGCCTGACTTCGGAGAGGCCCGACGCGGGGCAGACGTACGACTGTCATTTCCGAACACGCGGGGGGGGGTCATCCCCGGGCGTTCGTCCCCTCCAAGGCTGACGTTCCCCAGAATAGTCGACTGACCCAGGATCCTTCCCAGGGTCCTTGACCTGAGTTGACATCACCACGTGGGCTTTGCGAGGAAATGTCACGCCACGCCGCGCAGGGCAGGTCAGCGCCGCGAACAGAAGGGTTGTCGCCAACTCTCCGGCTTGACCCGACCATGCATTCGCCGCGTCTGCCGTGACCCCGGGATCCGCGTCGGCGAATGCATGCTTCGCAGCCCGTCTTGTATGTCCATTCCGCGCTCCAATCGCTCAGACGAGCTCCGCGTCGCCCGAATCAACCACAGTCTTGGCGCTAGACCACCTCAGGATCAAGATATCACCCGTCTTGCCGTCCACAACACCATCCGAATCCGTGCCCTTTCCCTCCACAGCCACGTCCCGCAGGAGTCGAATGAATACGGCCGTATCCAGGTCTGGACCGTCAATCATACTGATGTTCCCCGCCGTGTCGTTCAGATTCTGCAGTGCGGGCGGGAAGGACGACAGGAACGACGACAGGTAGTGGTTATGCAGAAGGGCCTGGTGGCGCGTCGCGTAGGCCAGCTCCGTCTCGGACAGGCGGGCGCGGAGGAGCGGGGAGGAGAGGTAGTGCAGGGCGTGCTTGTCGATCTTGGCGATGCGGGCGCGGAGGAAGCTGCGGACGAGGAACTTGAAGCGCTCAAGCTCGGTCTGGATCACGATCAGGGCGAAGTTCGTCTTGGGGTCCATGTCGCCCGTCAGGTCTTCCACTTTTTCGATTTGGGCCTTGATGCGGGCATTGACGCGTTCAAAGAGGTTATCTGGAGGCCACCTATGTTATTTCGCGATAACAAGTCAGCTTCATCTCTCCTTCGCCAGCGTCTTTCTTCATTTGGTTCAGGACGAGGGAGGTTTTACTCGAGGAGCTCTGGGGCGGAGCGTTCTGCCACCCAGGCGCGCGTCAAGGCTTGCAGGTCGCGTGTCTCTGCGGGGATCGAGTGGAAGACGGGGTCCACCTCCCGGAGGATGTCGTCGATATCCATTTGTGGCGGTGGTGCTGGTTTGGCCGGGGTGCGCTATGGCATTGTGTGAGGTTCGGTGTAGAACGCGACGGGAGTCGAAGACTCGGCGGTGGGATTGGAAGAATAAGAATCGCGGGGTGTAAGGCAATTCACAATTCGATGGTGGGGTCACACGTCGCGCTTGCACTGTGGATGCAGCTCACTGCAGGGGTCTTAAGGGGTACATTTGGGGGGTACCGGGAACAGACTGTGGGGAAAGAGTAACTCTCTATCTTCTTGATCGAGAGTTCAGCTATTCACTGTTCAATATGTCGCCCCGTTCGACTTTCTCTTCAGAATTCTCTGCTACGATGATTTACATAGAGGTTCGAGTGAACCAAGCTACACCGGGATCTGTTCCGCAGCTGCATGCTCGCAGTGGGGAACTGGCATCACAGCTGGGACACAGGCAGTGCCTTTTGATGTTACTATGACGAAGCTGCACGGAAAGCTTATGCCGAGGCATCTCACTCGACCCCAACTCCGCGGTCCCCGAAGTGTTCATAAAATGCTAAACAAATCCAATCTCACTTCAGCAGCTCTCAGACTCGAATCACAAACCAGCTATCATCTTGCATGTTTCCCGCTTATTCAACAATTCTTACAAAGTCGGCAAAGCTGTCGATTTCAGCAGACTCATCAAATTCAATTTTACAGCCGTAGACTCATTCACTTTCAAAATGGGCGACGAAGGCGAAGGCCGCCCTCCCTACTCTTCCTATGCCGTCAGCATCTACCAACAGGGCATCATGACGGGCCAATTGCCCGTCGTGACGACAGATCCCAACAAGTTGGAGGAACAGGCCAGAAAGGCCATGGGCAAGGAGTGCTTCGGCTACGTCTTTGGAGGTGCCGGCGAGCTCTCTACCATGGACGCCAATCGCCTCGCTTTTAGGCAGTGGAAGATCATTCCTCGTTTCTTGAAGCCAACTAATCCGCGAGACCTGAAGACTGAGCTCTTTGGCGTGACCTACGGTACGTCTGAAGCCCCGGGGCAGGTGGCTGTTCAAGGCTAAGACATGCCCAGAATCACCGGTCCTTATGGCTCCCATCGGTGTCCAGGGTATCTTCCATGAAGACAAGGAGACCGGACTCGCCTCCGCCTGCGCAGAGCTTGGCGTGCCCTACACCCTCAGCACAGCTGCGACCTCTACAATTGAAGAGGTGGCATCCGTTATGGGCGACAGTCATCGTTGGTTCCAACTCTACTGGCCCATGGACGACGACATCACTGGCTCTCTGCTGCGAAGAGCAAAGGCCGCAGGATACAAGGTTCTTGTGGTGACTCTTGACACCGTGACGTTGAGTTGGAGGCCTGCCGATCTGGATTCCGCCTACCTTCCGTTCATAACCGGCACGGGCAACGCGGTCGGCTTCAGCGATCCCGTCTTCCGAAAGAAGTTCGCGGCGGAGAACGACGGTGAGGCGGTCGAGGATAACGTGATCAGCGCATCCCTCCCGGTACTGGATCAGCCAAGCTTTCCCGGGTGACCATCACACTTGGAAAGACTTGGCTCTTCTCAGGAAGAATTGGGATGGGCCCATTGTTCTGAAGGGTGTGCTAAGCGTAGAGGACGCCAAGTTGGCTGTTGAACATGGCATGGACGGCATCATCGTCAGCAACCATGGCGGAAGACAACTCGATGGTGGCGTCGCCTCGCTGGAGATGCTCCCTGAGATTGTGGGTGCCGTGGGCGACAGGCTTACCGTCATGTTCGATTCGGGCATCCGCACTGGAGCGGATATCGCGAAGGCGCTCGCATTGGGAGCTCAAGCTGTCTTCATTGGTCGGCCAGCCATCTACGGCCTGGGCATTGCAGGGAAGGAGGGGGCGAAAGCCGTTATTGCTGGCTTGCTGGCTGACCTGGATCTGACCATGGGATTGTCTGGCTTCAAGAGCGTGTCGGAGTTGAAGCCGTCCATCTTGCGCCAGGTTCGTTATGGCGGGGACGTTAAGGCTAACCTTTGAATGTGGATCGCGGCAAGTGGATGAAAGCATCCCTCTTTGGAATAGAAAAACCATCGTTAGGCCGACATGTAAGCTTAATTGGAAAGCGCAGATCGCAAGCGGTTCCCCATCGAAGCTCTGTGTTGACAAGGTAGTAGTGCCGCGAGCGACCAGTCTCGGAATGCATATCATCCGGTGATATTGAGGACGGGAATGAGAGATGCCACCAGGCTAACCTGTCGGCTGCTGGCGTTGCCTCGAGCTAACATACTCTAATGCAAGCACCAATCTCATCGTGCACCAAAAGCATTCCTGATCTGCTCCGCACTTTCAGAGAATTCCGGACCTTCATCCGACCCAACTCGTTGACCCAAGCTTCGGTAGTCATTTCTGCTCATCCCTGGGGTAAAAGCCCCTCACTCACTAACACACTTGAATTCATAGACAGTGTCTCACGCGGCTTCGGGCCCTTCGGGTCATCTGGCTAGCCCTCTTCTTTTGGGGGCGACACGATATTGTTTGATGGCAACGCGCCAAGTGACGGGGTCGATCCTTTCTGCTTGGAATGCAATGCCTGATCACCACGAGACTGACTATCGCTAGAATGCATCCAGTGAGCCCAATAGCCTCACGGAACGCCTTCAAGCCGCGGAGATCCGTATGCAATGTTTCTGAGTAATCTCGCCGTGAATTCTACGGCTCAAGCATCGTCACAGCCCACATGCTGACAGCCGGGGTGAATAAATACGAAGACTGCTCCCAAGAAATAGAGAGAAACGAAAGAAGTACAGCAGCATCCCTCTATCCACTTTCCAACTCTTCTACATTCTCTTAGATCCAAGCTCATAATCTTCGTTTGTATCCTTGTTAATAATAATCAAGATGCGCGCATCGTCAATCCTCGTCGCTGCTGCCTCGGCGGCTTCAGTCCTCGGTGCTCCCTTGGAGAAGAGGGCCAACTACGATCCTCTTCCGGGCGGCGATGTAGCCATCCTCCAGTAAGTCCATGTTGCAGGTAATTTTCTTCTTGATGCCTGAACTAACCACCCGCGAAGATATGCCTTGGTCCTGGAGTATCTGGAACGCGAGTTCTACGGACAGGGTCTCGCCAACTACACCGAGGCAGACTTCTGCGAGTTCGCCGGCGCCGATGATGGCAGCAGATTCTACAAGAACCTGAAGAACATCTACGAGGATGAGAAGGTCAGTTCCATCTTGATGAGGGAGGTTTCCTAAACAATAATACTAACAAACCTGTAGACCCACGTGGACTTCCTCAAGACAGCTCTCGGAACTTCCGTCTTTGACGCACCCACCTTCAAGTTCCCCACCACAAAGGCCCACGACTTCATCGCCCTCGCTTCCGTCCTCGAGGGCGTTGGTGTGTCGGCCTACCTCGGTGCCGCCGCTGTCATTGCGGACAAGGCCTACGTCACACCCGCCGGCTCCATCTTGACCGTCGAGGCCCGGCACTCGGCCTACATCCGCGCTGCCCTCGGCGCCAAGCCCTTCCCCAAGGCCTTTGACACTCCCCTCGACTTCAACCAGGTCCACAGCCTCGCCGTGCCGTTCGTTGCGGCGTTGGCCCCGAACACACCTGCCCTGCCTTTCAAGGCCTTCCCCAAGATCCAGACGAGCTTCGTTAAGGGACGCAACATCGTCATCTTTGACGGGGCGTACGCTGCTGCCTCCGCCGCGGGACTCGTCCCGGCTGGTGCCAAGGTGTATGCCGTCTTCTACAGCGGTCTGGACATTTACTATGTTGAGGTTACTGTCAGCGGCAACGATGTGAGTTTTACCCCTTTCTGACTCTGCGCGTTGTTCATGGACTGATAAGCGATGCAGTACGTTGCCAACGAGATCCCCGATGGCGCCGAGGGCCAGGTCTACGTCGTTCTCAGCACCGCCGATGGTACCGCCGCCAAGGTGTCGGACGAGAACACGATTGCTGGCGTTGGAATCGTCGAGGTCGGCGACGCTTCTTACCACTAAACTCTTTGAGCGAGAGTTCCAAAGGGGAGGCCTGGGAACGTGGTACATACTTTATCTAATATCTCTTTTTACTTTTCCATATCCGGGCAGCCGATTGCCTTAGTTTCCCAGCATAATTCTATGTAGAATATTCATCCGCTTCGGTTTACTGAATAAAGATACTTTGACTTGCTGAGACGGGAGTTTGAACTGAATCGTAGCTGAGTGATGCTCATTTGTGGAGTTGCACCTCATGTCCCCCATTCGTATGTACCATTCAATGTGAGATGCGCGGTGGCTGAACAGTTGGAACTCAGGTAATCGCCGACTTATGCATCGTCTTGATCAGTAACATGGGCTATCCTCAAGTGTCATCAAGGTATCTGTTGTGATCAATTGCTCTTAGCTTCTAATAGTTCTGACGCCTTAATCCCAGGCCCACGTCTATACCGTGATTAAGCCAGGGCAGCCGTAATGTACATGATCACCAAGCCCGGATATCCCCTTTTGCTTTTTACTTTTCATTTCGTGACTCATATCTCCCCATTTATCGGGTGAGAGCAATGTCGTCTATTCTGAGAATCATCTTGACCGTCTCGGCAGCCAGCTCGATGGCGCTAGTGCTCACCAACAACGGTTGCAGGACGTTCTCCTTGGAGATGTTGGTGTTGACGCCGCCGGACTTGATACTGACACCAGCATTCTTCTCGCCCAGCTCGTGCCTGTGGCGGAGCTCGGTGACGACCTTGATGCTGTTGAGACCGGCGTTCTCAGCCAGGGTCGTAGGAACCACCTCCATAGCATCCGCGAAAGCCTTCCAGCAGATGGCCTCGGTGCCCGTCAGAGCACGAGCCTGCTTGGCCAGCTGAGAAGCGATCTCGATCTCGGCGGCACCACCACCGGCGATAAGAGCCTTCTTCTTCACCAAGCAACGGACAACGCAGTGGGCATCGTGCAGACTGCGCTCGGCCTCATCAAGAATGAGGGAGTTGGCGCCACGAACAACGACGGAGACCGTCTTGCCAGTGGCCTTGGCGCCGCTGACCTTAACCATGCGGGCACCGTTGGACTGGGCCTCCTCAACGAGGTCGGCCGTACCGAGCTTGTCCTCAGTGAAGGAGTCGATGTCGGCGATAGGCTTGCAGCCAGTGGACTTGCAGATGAACTCAACCTCGTCACGCTCAATATCCTTGACAGCAAGGATGCCCAGCTTAGCCAAGAAGTGCAGGGAAAGATCGTTGACGGCGTCGCGCAGAATAGACTTCTGGATGAAGAGAACATTGCACTTCGCCTTCTTAATCTTCTTGACCATGTTCAGAAGGTAAAGACGTTCCTCCTTAACGATTTTGTCCATCTGTCTGTAGTCGTTCACCTGAATGGTGTTTTCCATCTTGATTGGTCAGCGAAGGTCGAATAGGGGTATTTCAGGGGCAAACATACATCAGGCTTAGGAGGGCTGAGCTGGAACTGAATAAGACCAATCTTGGCCTTCTCAATTCTCGCGGGTCCTCCGGCGCCCTTGAGAACGGGCTGGGTCAAGACCAGACCGTCCACAAGCTCACTGTCCTCGATAGTTCCGCCAACCTTCTTGATTATTCTGATGTTCTTAAGATCGACGTTGTCGGCCGTCTTCAGGTCGATGGTCTTGACAACAGAGTTGACAGCCATGGGACCCAGAATGTTCGAGTATTGCGATACAATCTTGGAGGAAAGGGAGGTATTGGCTGCCTGGAGCAGGGAAGCGGTATCGGTGAGGGAGATAGGTTGTGACATGTCGTGAAGAACCTCGACAGCGGCGGCCGCAGCTCTTTGGAAGGACTCCGAGATTACGGAGGGATGAATTCCTTTTGACAGAAGGCGGTCCGCAGCACCCAGCAAGCTACCGCAGATAACAACGACCGATGTAGTACCATCTCCCGCCTCCACATCTTGCGCTGCCGAGAGGTTGACCAACATCTTCGCTGTAGGGTGCATGACCGACATGCTCTTGAGCATCGTGTTTCCGTCGTTGGTAATGATCGTCTCGCCCTTCCCGCTTCGGATCATCTTGTCCATGCCTCGGGGGCCCAAGGACGTTCTGATGGCATCGGCGACAGCTAGCTGGAAGTCAGCTTCTGCTCTGTGGAGCTCGTGAAGAAGTCGCGTTGCTTACCTCTGGCAGCAACAATGTTGGAAGAGCGGACCGCGACGGGCTTCTCCTTGTCCTAGGAAATTGTTAGCAACAGCTCTGCTACCAGAGCTTCGTCACCGGCACTCCCCGCCATACCTTGAAGGCAGCTTGGTTACCCCCGGCGGGGGCAGGTGCAGCTGTGGCCATTTTGGATGTTTTTGCTGGTTTCCTGGGTTGTTTCTGAAAATTCAAGGTCGGAATAGCAAGATAAAGTCGGCGGGGAGAGATATGGGTATCGTCTTGGTCGTGTCCCGCTGTCGCCTTCTTTTGCGATCGCCCACTTTCTCTCAAGTAGCAGCCCCCCAGCGGTGGGATATTTTTTAGCGGGCGGCAGGTTGTTCCTTCCCCGGCACCTCTGTTTGCATTTTGCCCCAACCGGCCTAGCTCCACAGCAGCCTCGCAGCTGTGGCCCGTGCTTGGGGAGCTCAAGGCAACCTGGGATTACGGAACCGTCTTCCATTACCATCTCCAATCCACCCCAGCATTACCATCTTGACGACCATACCTCCCACTCGAGAACCTCACGAATTTACGCAAAAGTCCTGCCTTGATCTCTGAACTTCCAGACCTTACTCCACAAGAATTTCCGGCAGCAGGACGCCCAGTCCTCATTCTGCATCATGGTATTGATGACCCTTGCGTGTGCATCCCGGTGACAGATGTTAACCAGTCAATTAGCCTTCCGCTACCGGCCAGAACTGGGAGAAGTACCAGAAGACCTACGCAGACGACGAGATCGAGGAGAAGAAGATCACGCCACTGACCGATGAGTGCGCATTTCCGAAAGCTTCGTAATCCATATGACGTCGACTAACGATACCCAGAGATATCCAAGTGCTGAAGACCTATGGCGCTGCGCCCTACGGTGCCGCCATCAAGAAGCTCGAGCAACAGATCAAGGAGAAGCAAACAAGTGTAGATGAGAAGATCGGTGTCAAGGTAGCTCTCTTATTTTATTGGCAAATTGGTCAATGACTGACTCGGCCAGGAATCCGACACGGGTCTTGCCCCTCCTCATCTCTGGGACGTTGCCGCCGATCGTCAACGAATGTCAGAAGAACAACCGCTCCAGGTCGCCCGGTGTACGAAGATCATTCCCGACGAGAAGGACGACTCCAAGAGCAAATATGTCATTAACGTCAAGCAAATTGCGAAGTTCGTCGTCCAGCTCGGCGAGAGAGTGTCTCCGACGGATATCGAGGAGGGAATGCGAGTCGGTGTTGACAGAAACAAGTACCAGATTCTTCTTCCTCTTCCTCCCAAGATCGACGCCAGCGTTACGATGATGACGGTCGAGGAGAAGCCCGATGTGACATACGGAGACGTTGGTGGATCAAAGGAGCAGGTTGAGAAGCTGCGTGAGGTCGTCGAGATGCCCCTCCTGTCGCCGGAACGCTTCGTCAACCTCGGTATCGATCCCCCGAAGGGTGCCCTGCTGTACGGACCTCCCGGAACGGGAAAGACCCTCTGCGCGCGTGCCGTCGCGAACAGAACGGATGCTACGTTCATCCGTGTCATTGGTTCTGAGTTGGTCCAGAAGTACGTCGGTGAGGGTGCGAGAATGGTCCGTGAGCTGTTCGAGATGGCGCGGACGAAGAAGGCCTGCATCATTTTCTTCGACGAAATCGATGCCATTGGTGGTGCTCGTTTCGATGATGGTGCTGGTGGAGACAACGAGGTCCAGAGAACTATGCTGGAGCTGATTACGCAGCTTGATGGTTTCGACGCTCGTGGTAACATCAAGGTCATGTTCGCTACGAACAGACCCTCTACCCTCGACCCTGCGCTTATGAGACCCGGTCGTATTGATCGTAAGATCGAGTTCTCCCTCCCAGACCTCGAGGGTCGCGCCAACATCTTGCGCATTCACGCGAAGAGCATGTCAGTCGAGCGCGATATCAGATGGGAGCTTATTTCCCGTCTTTGCCCCAATGCAACGGGTGCCGAGCTTCGTAGTGTGTGCACAGAAGCTGGTATGTTCGCCATTCGTGCCCGCAGAAAGGTGGCTACGGAGAAGGACTTCCTCAGCGCCGTCGACAAGGTCATCAAGGCCAACCTCAAGTTCAACTCTACGGCCAGCTACATGCAATACAACTAAGGAAATCAAGCGGAAGAGGCACGGAGTTGATGAAATCGTTTCAGGCTGTAAGAATAGGCTTGGGGTTAGGGAAGGTCTAGAGGGCGGGATACCTTGCTCGAGAGAAATAGATCATGCTTTTCCATGCGCCAATATGGTGATGTCGCCTCAACAGTGACGTTGAGAAATATGAGACTGGACTTGGTGGGCGTATTGATCAGTCGCAGCTCCGAAGGGTAGTATTCAGCAGCGTCCCACCAGACTCCTAGGGAGGCAAAGCCTTACTCGCAGCCAAAAACGCAACTTGAAGGACTCGCTTAATGCTTCCAGCATCTGCACGTCGAAGCCGAGAGAGAGGCCCTACTGCTGGCCCCATCTACGTTTCTTCCGGCAGACATTGAGACGATGAAGCAAGCTGGCGCCTGTAGGCATTCGTCCTGGCATACTCGTTTGGCCTTGCTTGCGCATGAAAACGTGGACGCTATAGGCATCCTCGTTCTTACATCTTCGAAATGACAAGTATCCTCTAGCCTTCAGAGTAGTTTCTGAATGAGGCACCACACGATGCTGGCATGTTTGACGCGCAAGGCTCGTTGACAACACCTCAAAGATTGGAGATCAAATTATAGGTCAGACGTGCAGACCCGCTGTCTCTTACTCGATTGTGATATTGATTTGTAGAATTACATTTACCAATGGGGCTCTATAGCCTTCCATTCTATGCATAGAGCCTTGCTGTTCACTGGCCCCTTTCCCATGCCTGATGTTGGCTCCTCCACCACAGTAAAATCCCATAATGCTGCCTCAGCGGTGCCCAAAAAGTTTCCAATGCCAAGTTATGATAATGCATGCCTTCATTAGCAGCACCTCGCACTCACCAGTGCGCCAGTCCGGTTCGACGACCGCTGTTGTTACGTCCCTCCTCATAAGAAACCTGTTGGAATCATGTGAACATGAATAGAATCCCCCGTAGTCTCCCCATTGCAGCTTTCGAGGAACGGTACCTCACTTTTAAACAGATTCCATCCGTGACAGACAACCCAGACAAGCGACGTCACCCTCGGCGCCCTTCTCTATACAGCACCGACTGCAGACCATGGTCCTGTGCCCGCCGCCCGTCCAGCCGTCATGTCGTTTCTCCTGTCCATTTCGAGTCTCTCTCTCGTTTCTTTGTCGTTGTCGTGTGTCGTCAACGTCGTCCATGTGGAATGACCTCGACATATCCTCCTGCTCAACTTCGTCGCCATCACTAGGCCGGCCGTCCTTCTTCCAGCCTTGGCATTGTCTGATGCACACGTAGCACGTCCGTTGACCACAACCCTCGCAGTCCGCAAAGGAGTCCAGGTCTGACTTCTTGGTTGGCCGTCGATGGCAGATGTGGCACGGGCTTAGAGAGGAAGCCGGGGTTCTTGATTTGTTGGCCGTTTCGGCCTGGTCCTGGGGCCCTCGGGCAGCTTGTTGAGATGAGGGCGACTTGCTCCGTCGTTGCCTATGCGATGATGTTGCTGTGTCCCATACACCCGTCTCGGCGCTGTCGTCTTCCTCGTCGAACATGCGTTGTCTTTTGGAACCAGGCAGCGGCGCTATCTTTCTAGGAACGGCGTCGAGGCTGTGGTATTGTTGGTCGCCGAGGCCGCCGTGTTGGAAGACGATTCCATTACTAGGCAATTGGGGGGAGAAGTCTGGATGCTGCTGCTGCAGTTGTTGCTGTTGCAGCTGCTGCTGAATGGGCCTGCCAAAAGGGCCGTCAGCTTTCCAGTTCGTCGAGGCGATGGCCGAGTACTGGGCGAGTTTCTCGTACAAAGGCCCCTGTATCTGCAGGTCGGTTTCGTTGTCTCGTCTTCGCTTTCGGCCTGGCAGCATCAGCCGAGGATGCTCCTCGGCGATGGACGGCATTTGGTGTGGTTTTGGGTGGGTATCGGGTGTCGTTGAGATGGGAGGCGAACTGCAGAGGTGGTGGTATATCGCTCGCTCCTTGCACAGATTCGTGAATTCCAGATAAACTCCGCAGGAACAACGATGGAATATGGAGAGGGGATGGAGGAGGGAGAGACTTAGAAAGAAGACTTGGTTTGGAGATCTGAAGGAGGGGGAGAAGAAAAGAGGAGAGGCCGTTAGAAGAGGAGAGACAGAAAGTGTGATGATGGTGGAAAGGTGTGTCTGCCTCTCACTCAGCGCTCTCCTTGAGTCGGGTTGATTGCTCCTGCAGGTAGGTTCCGTTTTAGGTGGACATGCCGCCGTGCGTTTATGAGGGTGGACTGGCACGGCGCGGAGCTTTCACGCCTGATTTGCCTGTGTGGGGTGCCTCTGGTGGGTTCAGCCAGCGGGCGGCGCGGCAGCCAGATTCGCTCAAGAGGTGCGGGCTTGTATTCCCACCACTGTCAGCAGACTCAACAGCGCTCCGTCTAGCTGCTCGGAAACCGCGCCGGCCGCTGGAAAATCCGCTGTCGTTCTGTCCAGCGCTTACCCAGCTCGCTCAACCGAGCAGGTGCTGTGCAGCTTTCACAGGTTGAGTGTTGTCGACGGGAAGTCGGAACTGACTGCGACCCACTGATTCGTCTATCGCACCCGCCAATTGACTCTCAAGGTGCCTCATACAAACTACCTACCTGACCTGACCACTGTTCCTCATCCAACGTGAGTTATTTGTACTTCGAATGTCCTCTCACACTCATAAGTGCCGTGACCACACAGCATCTTGACATGCAAGCCCTAGAACTTTCTACGAATTAGGGGTCTTGGAAGCAATTCGGACGAAACATGTCAAAGACCCGATAAGAAGTCATTTGTGAAGTTGCCTCCGATGTTGCATTTGACCCTTTGTGGTTTGACTCCGTCTCGGTCATGGATTCGCCGAGGTGACTCCAGGATGCATTGTTTGTTGGTGTCGCTGTCTGCTCAAAAGCCCTTTCTCTCTGCAATCATATATCATGACAGTTTACAACATGAGGGCATTGATTACCATCTTTGCGATTCCATGTGCCCAAGTTGTCTTTCTATTGTCGCTTGTGCGTGGTCAGCAAGATGATGAATGAGCAAATCACACAAGTCATTGTCAGGCACGTGAAAGAAGTAAGCGTAGACATAGAAGACTTGTCATTATCAAGAAATCAGGTATTGAAAAAGGACCATCTGATTTACACTCTATCGCTCCCCCGTTTGCTCCCAACGATGAATCTCGTCTCTGCCGCCTCCACGAACAAAGGAGCTGTTTTAGAGAGCCTAGTATAACATACACAGAGACAACCGAAAGTTTGCGTAATTTAGTGGCGAACCTTGGTCTCCTTGGGAGGGTCGTACGCGAGCTTCCTCGACTTGAGCCAAGCCCACTTGTACTTCTTAACCCAGACGCTGATAGCCCAGAGCGTGGCCGAAACGACAAGAACCTTCATACCCATGCGCTTGCGGTCATCCATCTCGGGCTCAGCGGCCCAGTTGAGGAACTCAACGACGTCCTTGGCCATCTGAGAGGTCGAAGCCGGGGTCTCGTCCTCGTACTCGACGAGGCCGTCGTAGAGGACACGGGCCATGGCGATACCGGTACCGGGGAAGTAGGGGTTGAAGTTCATGCCGGGGGCGACGACAGCGCCGGCGGGGGGCTCGTCGGGGTAACCAGTAAGCAAGCTGAAGATGTAGTTGCAGCCACCGTGGCGGGCCTTGATGATGAGAGACAGATCGGGGGGGAGGGCACCGTTGTTGGCAAAGCGGGCAGCCTCCTCGTTCTTGTAAGGGTCGGGGATGTAGTCGGACAGCTTGCCGGGGCGCATCTCGATGTCGCCCTGCTCGTTGGGCTCACCGGGGTACTCGTTCTCCTCGGCCATCGCCTTGGCCTCGTCGACGGTCAGGACAGTACCGACCAGGGCACGGTAGGGAACACGGCTGAGGGAGTGGCAAGAGGCGCAGACCTCGCGGTAGACCTGGAAACCACGGCGGAGACTGCAATTGTGTGAGCGTCATTTACCAGGTAGCGTGGGGGGATTGCTTACGCCTGGTGGTCGAAGGTCTTGAACCATTGCTCGTGAACCCAAGGGTAGTTGGTAGGGTGCAGACTGGTATCGAATGTCAGCTCGACATGCCTTTGTTTCGGTGCCTCCGGTGCATTTGTAGATTATGCCTCAACCCAGCAAGGGATCTCGGAATCCGAACAAATTGGCCCGCAGCAACCTTTCTCGGATGGGGAGAACTCACCCCTCCTCAGCGGGCGTGGCAGCGTTCGCCGAAGGTCCGTAGAGGTGGTAGTACCAGGCCATAGAGCCCAGGGCGAGAGACGTCGACGCAACGGCGGAGATGTTCAATCGGGAGTGGGAAGCTTCGGCACCAGCGCCGGTGGAAGTGGACGCCGCACGCTGCGTGGATCACTGTCAGTGTTCGGTCCCCAAGTCATTGATATCTCTCGATGGCCACTGAGGCGGTTCCGGGGGTGTCGTGTGGCGGTAGGTCGGATTGCCTCGGGAAATTGGCTTCTTGATCAGCTCATGTGCGTACCTTGGAAATGGTGACGGCGCCATTTGTGAAGGTGCGCGCCGAGCGCAAGCAGGACCTTGCCAACATGATGGGCGAGCTGTATCCGCAGCTACAGAGACAGCCGCGAACAAAATGATGGGGCAATGGGTGGTAGGTCCTCTCGTGACGGAGGTCGTTTCTACGGTACAGTAGTCGAGGCAGGAGAAAATCGCTGTGAGGCAGTTTTCGAATGCCTTAGGTATGGGACGTCTCTGATTGGCTAATGGCTTCGGTCAGCAACATGTTCCGGTCCGGTCATTTTTCGCTTGATTCCTCCCACCCGGTGTTGCCCGTCGACCAGAAGTATTTCCGATCGCCCGTCGCACCCAGCGCCGTCGTGTCGTCATGCACCGACCTGAGAAATATGCCTCGCTTGATTGGCCTGGACCCATGCAGCCAGCCAACTTGACCTGCATCACGATACAACATTGGACGAACATTCTTTCCTTTTTGACGATCACTGTAAGTATGCAAAAGACATAAACCAGCAGCGTTTCGCGTTTTTGGCTGTTCCATGGCCAATTTCGATTCACCACTTAGCACACGCAATATTCTCTTGAAGGGTGCGACAAACATCTCACGACAACGCAATTGACGACAGTAATCGGGTATCAATGGCCGTTTTTTTTTATTATTTTTTCAGAAAACACGCAACTTTTATCTGAGCCCGCAGGCTTGTGTAGCTTACACCTACGTTGATGGCAGGCAAGCTGATGGTATTATGCACAATTCCCTTTCCCGATCCAAACTCAATGCTCCGAAATCAATAGCTTTCCACTCTCAGGCGTGGCCATTTCTGCTGAGGATTTCGCGGCGTCGCTTTACTGCGCTGGCGAGCTCATCCAGAACTGAGACGGTATCGTCCCAGTGGATGCACGCGTCGGTGATGCTGACACCGTACTTCAAAGCACTGGGGCCCTCCTTGGGAACCTTCTGGTTGCCTGCAACTTATTAGCTTATGCTTCCATCATTCTCAGCGCCGCGACAAGTACTAACCCTCGTTGATGTTGCTCTCAATCATGACACCCATTACGGCGGTCTCGCCCTTGGAGATTTGGGCCGCGAGCTCGCTGGCGACCTTGGGCTGGTTCTTGTGGTTCTTCAAAGAGTTGCCGTGACTGCAGTCGACCATGAGCCTCTGGGGCAGGCCAGCCTTCTCCAGCGCCGCCTTGGCCTCGGCGATGCTCTTGGCGTCGTAGTTGGTACCCTTGGTCCCGCCTCTCAGGATAACGAAGCAGTCCTCATTGCCTACTGTGCCGACAATAGCGACGACACCGGGCTTGGTAACAGAGAGGAAGTGATGGGGATGTCTGACGGCGCCAATGGCGTCAATTGCGACTCCGAGCGAGCCATCGGTACCGTTCTTGAAGCCGACGGGGAAACTGAGACCGCTGGCCAACTCGCGGTGCAGCTGGCTCTCCGTGGTTCTCGCGCCGACGGCCCCAACGGACAGCAAATCAGCGAGGAACTGGGGCGAAATAGTATCCAGCATCTCGCTAGCAATGGGCATACCCTTGTCCGTAAGATCGACGAAGAGCTGTCTTGATAGGCGGAGACCCTTGTTGATCTTGAAGCTGTTGTCGATATCGGGGTCGTTAATCAGACCCTTCCATCCAACAGTTGTGCGCGGCTTCTCCAAGTAGGAGCGCATCACAATGAGCAGCTCATCCTTGTGCTTCTCCTTCGCGGCGAGAAGAAGGTCGCAGTACTCGAGAGCGGCCTTGGGGTCGTGGATCGAGCAAGGACCAATGATGACCAGAAGTCTGCCCTTCTCGTCGGTGCCATTGACTACGGCTGCAGCCTCCTCACGGCCCTCGATAACGGTTTGCTTCGACTTGGGAGTTTGGGCAATCTCGTGCTGGAGCAGGTCGGGAGGAGTCAGAGGGTTGTAACCGCGAACTAGGAAGCCAATTAGCCTTGAAAGTTATTTGGAGGTTGCCGATTGAAAACATACTTCTCCAGTCTTCACTCTCGGCCTTGTTGCCAACGTTCTTGTTCTCGATGTAGAAGCTCTATGGTGGAAGGTGAGTCAGAGGTAGGCGCAGACAGGGTGTCGAGGGGCGCTGACTTACAGACATGGTGAATGCGGGGAAGGAAAGCAACAAATACGCTCGAGTGAAATGGTAAACTTGGGTGAAGCCGAGTCTGCAACAAAAGTCTCTGGAGGTAGACAAGTGAAAAGGAAGAAAATAAACTTTTCTCTCTGCTTGGAGGTTGTGTCGAGAAGAGAGTCACAGCAGCGCAAAGGTCGGAGCTTCGAAGAATATCAGCAATGAGCGAAGACTCATTCGTTCCCCCCCTGCCCTGTGCCTGTACCTGTCGCCCCGTCGCCCACACTTGCGACCCCCCGGCCGGCAGTACCCCGCCGAGGACCGCTCGAGAAAGAAAAAAAAAAAAAGTTGGTCGACATGCAACTTGCCACCAGTGAGGGGCATCCTTGCTGTGCTTTTTTCGCCGTCTTTAGCTGTGACGTGCCACTGTGGGACTGTCCGACTGCGCTGAGCATTAGACATGGCGCCACACACTGGGTCTCACCGCCTGGAGGACATCCCAAGAGCACCGGACAACGGGCCTTTGCAGGCGATGCGAGGCCTGGAGGGGACGGCAGTCGGGTGAGCAACAACATTGTGTGCCTTTGCAGGTGACAGTGCAGGACAACTTGGGATGGCGACACACCTTCAATTCATCCCATGCGTCTGACCTATCGGGGAGGAATACTAAAAGCACATGTCGTTTCATTCTCAATCTAACTCTAGCGGCACATTCTACTAGTAACATCTCAAGTCTACCCTTGCCGACCTCGCTGGCATTTTCGTTCAATCATAGAAGCATGGACAACGTCTGCGTTACCCGTTACTAGACCAACGCAAGCACCGACACCCCGCCTACAAAGTCTTCTTAAGGGGCTTGTAAGCCTCCTTCTCCATACGTTCAACGCCATTGAATCGCCCGTAAACGAACTTGAGAAAACTCGTGCTCAATGTCATCAACACGGCCGAGAAGGTGAACAACCCTACTCTCTGTGCCGTATTCAAGACTGCGAAGATTGGGTACGGGTAGCTGGGACACGTTAGCCTCCTAAGTCTTCAATTCGGACATATCCGTGCTTACGCTCCGTTCTTGCTGAAGCACAACTCAACCCAGCCCCAGTACAAGAAAGCAAACACCATGCTAATAGTCATGGCTGAGTACGCGCGGATAGTCCATGGAGGGCTGAACAGGATCAAGTCGAGGGTCAGGACCACTGCCGGCACAAGGTGAAAGCCGACATCTGGAAGCCAGTGAAGCTCGAAACCCTCGGGAATCAAAAGACGCTCGTCGATTGAACGAATTCCCCAGTACAGGATGCTGATGAGGACTTCGAGGGGAGCGGCCGTAGTCGAGAGAGCGTTCTTGACGGCGAACAATTGAGGGATCAGAGTAATGTCGGCTAGCAGACCAATCCCAAAGGTGGTTGCAGACAAAATCAAGCCGATGTTTGTGAGATGCTGATAGTTGCCTCCAAAGCCCATAGAGATCTCGTGCGTGAGAGTGCTCAAGAACTGGAACGAAGCGAAGAAGGAGCAAAGGCCGGCAACATGAAGCAAAAGCGACAGTGTTCTCGACGGGGACTCAAGCCGCTGCAATCGGTGACGAGCCATCTTGGTGAACTGGCAATTGGTGTTGATCTCGCGCGATTCGTGTTTGTTATGGTCTAAGTTGTTGGGTGAAGGGATGACAGGTCCAAGGCCACGATGGCGGGTCTTCTAAGAGATGAATGTAGAGGGATGGCGGCGGGCGCAAGGGAGGATCACGTCCGAGCCACTGGTTTTTGTAGGTATTTGAGACGAACCTTGTTAAGAGGAGAAGATTTTCGAAGACATAATGTTCGAATCCTTTTTAGACATTGTCCCGACGGAGCGTTTTGGGGCCAATCAAGGGACAACGGGAGGCATCGTCAAAGTGACGGGGCCGCGGCATGTTGCAACTTCCCGGCGCCTTCGGCAGGCTGGGCTTCGTCATGAGGTCACTGATGGAGCAGAGTCCGCCAGAGTGGCCCCTGATCTGAAGTCCCAGGCAGATCCACGCAGGCTGGGTCCCCCGAAGAGCCACCCTTGAAAGCCCAATCGGCATGTGCTCCAGGGGCAGCCAGGGCGGGCTAAGCTTCTTGTGGAGCCGGACAGAGTAGCGGCGTCGAAGAAGCAACAAGGCTGCACTAGCTCACGCCAACGACAAGTCTGATTGGGCGCAAGGAAAGCTTCCCGAAAACCATCACCTAAGCTTCGTGCACTCAATCTTCAGCCTTACATCTTTTGAATCAGGAGCTCGGGACCCCGTCAGGCTACTTTCAGACGGCAGCTTTTCTCAGACATTGACCGAACTATACACCCACCGACACAATGGCTGACGAAGACTCCAAGTCAAACAAACGAACACACGAGGACTTCACGGGACAAGATGATGGTACGTGAAAATGTTGCGCAACGATGGGCTTCGGTACTGACAATGTTTCGTCAGACAGCTCCTCCGACGATGATATGGGTCCTCAGCTTCCCAGTGAGGCTCCGAAGAAGAAGCGCCGAGTCCTCCCATACGAAAAGCTTTACATCGCCGCCCTACCCAAGTCCTCTCGATACTCGAAGTCCCTGATGCACAAGGAGCAGCTATCCTTCGTGACCGTTACGCCCTTGACCGACTTTATCATAACTTCCTCGACCGACGGGGTTGTAAAGTTCTGGAAAAAGGTGGCAGAGGGCATTGAGTTCGTCAAGGAGTTCAAGGCACACAATGGCGAGATTAAATCAGTCTCAGTCAGCCAGGATGGAAGAAGCTTCGCGACAGCTGGAGAGGACGAGACCATCAAGATCTTTGATGTTATCACTTTCGATCTGTTAGCCATGTTGAAGCTCGCTTTTGTGCCTCGGTGCATCTGCTGGGTCCATAACAGGGGCGCTTCGCTACCGCTGCTCGCTGTCTCCGAGGACGCGAATTCAAACGTCCACATTTTCGACGGGAGGGGAGAAAGACAGGATCCCATTCACACAATCAAGTCGCTTCACAGAAGCCCTGTGTCGATAATGGCCTTCAACAGCGTCTACGACTGTGTGATCTCGACCGACGACAAGGGTATGTTGGAGTATTGGCGGCCAAGTGGAGACTACGAGAAGCCCGACAACGTCTTCGAGTTCAAGGCCTCTACGAATCTCTTCGAATTCAAGAAGGCAAAGTCAGTTCCCACGTCCATCACCATCTCACCGACGGGCAAACATTTCGCAACCTTCTCCCAGCCCGACAGAAAAATCCGCATATTTGACTTCGCGTCCGGCAAACTTTACAGGACTTACGACGAGTCCCTACAAGTCATTGAAGAGATGCAGCAAGCTGGATCTGGACTTCAGAAGCTGGATCCTGTTGAGTTCGGGCGCCGATTCGCGGTGGAGCGCGAGATTGACTCCCCAGCATACAAGCACAAGGCCAATGTCATTTTCGACGAATCTGGCAACTTCATCCTCTACGGCTCCATTGTTGGCGTCAAAGTGCTCAACACTTACACTAACCAAGTAGTCAAGATTTACGGCAAAGAAGAAAATTTCAGAGCTGTCAACCTGGCGATATACCAAGGTCAACCGCAGAAGAAGGGCATTACCACTGTAGAAATGGGTGCCTCAAGCAACCCCCTACTTCAGGAGTCAGAGTCGCGAGATCCGATTCTGATTGCCACAGGCGTGAACAAAGTGCGGTTTTACATGTTCACCAATGACGAGGACATATCCAAGTCGGTCAGAGATGTGCAGAACGAGAAGCCGACTATGCTTGGACAGAAGAAGGCTGCCGAGGCTAAGAAGGCAGAGACTGGAACCGCAGCGGTGATCCACACGACATACGGCGACATCCATATTCGCCTCTTCCCTGACGCGGCACCGAAAGCCGTCGAGAACTTCGTCACTCATTCGAAGAAGGGATACTACAATAACACCATCTTCCATCGTGTTATTCGAAAATTCATGATCCAGTGTGGTGACCCCCTGGGCGATGGTACCGGCGGCGAGAGTATTTGGGGCAAAGAGTTCGAAGATGAATTCAGCAGCTTGAAGCACGACAAGCCATACACTGTCAGCATGGCTAATGCAGGCCCGAACACCAATGGCAGTCAGTTCTTTATCACCACAGAAAAGACGGTGAGTGGCGGCCCAGCCCCCTTAGATGTGCTTTCGCTAATGTGTGGGTGTGATGAAGCCTTGGCTGGATGGCAAGCATACAATCTTTGGACGTGCCACGCAGGGTCTGGACGTCATTCACAAAATCGAGAACGTCCGGACATATAAGGAAAAGCCTGAGGAGGACATCAAGATCCTGAACATCGACATCGTGTAGCCGGTAGAGCGGCAAAACAGCAAAGAGCCGCCAGACGGCAACTAATGAGACGAGAGCCCAATGATCCCACACGCCCCCACGTAAGGGCTGAGTGAAAAAGCAATGCGACGATGCAGCATCCCCGCAAGTCCGATGAGGCGGCGGCTAGTCAAATGAGCTTCACGATGCAGCCGCATGCCGATTCAAGTCCACCCAACTGAGTGAGGCTGTTGCTGCTCACGTGGACGAAAGAGGCCAGCATTGGGCCGCTTACAATCCCGCAATCGGCGCTGCATCACCGCAACCCAATTCGGGCCTGATTTCGTCGGCCAATGACTTTACTTAAGGATGAGGTCGGGGCGCAATGCTCCTGTTCTTTCGATTTCGCTGTCGCATGAAACTGACGTTGTTTTCAAAAACTCTCATCAATCCCAGTCCGTGGATATCGTGAAAAGTGAAGTCGGCTCACAATTCCACTGCAAGCAAGTTTGCATAGACACTTGCACCGCATCGCGTACCTGCGCTGCATATCTGCGTATCATACCTAACGAACCAATCATTCTCCCTCGACCCCGCCCTTTTGTCCCAGCTCGTCCAGACGGCGCCTTGAGACTGGGCATGAACCTCGGGTTGTAGCATGCCGCGCCCAAAGAAGCCGGGGGCTCCAGAACCGAAAAGGCGAAGTCGAAATGGATGTTGGTGAGTTCCGTGGAGAAGTGCAAGAACCTCCTTCAGGGCCCCATTT